TGCTGACTACTAATTAAAAAATTAAGTCATCCCTGTTACCACCAGGAGGCAGCACTCATTATTATAAGTGTCACTAGAGTCAGCAACTGTCATGTTGTGCCTGGTGCCCACCTATCACTGTCTTTAGCTCTGTGGTTGCAAATAAATGTACTATTTTTTGCCTCCGCATGTATACTAGTCATTTGTATGCACTATTTATATCTGCTATGGCTGCAGTTTGGGGTTACTTTCACTAGTGCTGTTTGACAAAGACCCTCGCCTCCAAAGATTACTTTTCTGAACTTTTTTTAGTGATGCATTTTAGTGTAATTCAGTTGCACAACTATCCTAGTTGTGCTTTTGGACTTTTTGTTTTGGACTTTAACCTTGGTGCTGGGCTTTCCTATGGAAAAATTGTTTACGTTCACTTGGAGAATTGTTTACGTTCTCTCCTCTGCAATGTGACTCGGCTCTTGTGAAATTTGTTTCTGGGTGTTGTGTGGCTTCTTTTCTAGAAGGGACCACCCAGTGGCTCCCTGACCTTAACTCTGGACTCTGGTAACCCTGACCTTAACCCTGGTAACAGTAAACCTTAGTCCAACACCAAGCCTCAAAATGGTAATAGATGTTGCAACCTGTCAGCAGCAGGGGTAATTTTGTTTATTAATTAGAAGCCATAAAAGAATTAATAGGCATATTTTGTTTGAGTATCACTTGACTCACCACTGTCATCCCTAATTAACTTAAAAAATTTGGAAAGACCCTTGTCATGATGGGGACCAGGTCAACAATACCTGGTAAGTGATCAAGTCCATGGTGGATCATACAGACTCTTGGATCATCCAAGGGACTAGCTCAAAAAGGACTTTCAATACCCACTTTTTTTTATTATTATTAATTCTTAGCACTAGTCAGATGTCTGTAAAAGAGGTTATTTGAAGGTGCCACAGGGTAGATTTGCAGTCAAATATAATTGTAAGGAGCATAGATGATTGAGCTTATTTCTTGAGTGTGTTATGAATAATGCTTTTCCTAATAGAATTTTATTTAGTAAAAGACCATCATTAATGACAAGTCTTGCCTGTTGATTTAATCAGTTACAACCTTGAATAAACAGTTACAACGCCTTGTAAGGAGAATTAGTCCACATGTTTAACCCATTGAGAACTTTACAATATCCTAAAGAACAAAATTTTGTAAATGAAAACTTTTTGTGTATGAAGTTTTTTCTTATTTTAGCTGATTTCAGGGTATCATATATGCATTAATTGTGATGACTAGTTAAAAGTACTGCAGATAAGCCAGCAGTTGTGTTCTATATAATTAGCGACTTAAATGAATCTCCAAAAAAATAGATCTGTTCTTGTGTTGTGTAACCAATTATAATACTGTAATGTAAATTGTATACAAAGTTATCAACCAATATGCTTTTATTTATTGTGAGTAATGTTTGGTTTTGTAGTCGGGCCAGCGACGGACTGATTGTTCACGGTCAGTCATTTTGTGCTCTCGTTACATTTATTCTCATGTGAACTAAAACATTGATGTTTTAATTTATATGAATTGTTTATTCAAAATATCCTCAAGGATTTAAAATTGGAAGATGCTTATAATTCTTATATTCAATTTGGTATTAAGAGTACAAAATTTACTCAACATAGGTAAATTGTTGTACAGTACAGTATATCTGTACAGTATATCTTTATTCCAGAAATAAATAATCATTTATGCCTTATATTTATTAATGAACCAAATAACATGGCAAACCTTATCTTTTTTTTATAAAACAAAATATAAATTGAATTTCAATCAATTAGAAAAGTAATACTGTACTGTAGATGTTAATTTACAGTTTTTCCTCCAAGGAAGCTGTTTTGTAAATTAGTCCTTGACCCATGGACCACCTAGTCATGTACATGTAATTATGTTGTCTTCCAACTGTCTGTCCACCTTTTACTTGTTTTTAATTTATTTTAGGAAAGCTTGTATCTTGAATACTGGCCATCCTTTTAAGGGTCGGGTTGTGTCTTCACACCATGGGGGTTGGGGGGTGTTGGATCATGCTTCATAGCCTCCATTGTGATTGATATGAGGGGTCCCGCACTACAATGTGTCCTCCAAGGGATTAAATATGAGCCACATCATGCCTTGTAGCCTTAGTGTTAAAAAAAAAAAACTCCACTATACATTGTTGCACTTCATGCTCACTTATCACTATTGTAGAGTTTTTATGAATACTCAATTGTGCACAACTCTACAGCCATCAATAATAATTTTGCTTGTGCCAGAACACCTGTTAGTTCTTTATATATGTGCACACCTGTAGAAGCACACTTAAGTGCATGGCATTATTTATATATCACTAGCATGAATTTAGAACACTAATACACATGCAGGTACACACACAGCACAGAGGTACGTGGGGGGAAACAATACTGCATGTCGATAACTACTTAACCCTGATTAAAGTGCCCACAAACACTATTTATTAACATTTCAATTTTGAGTTATCTTTCACAATTTAAAATTTTATATTGTAAATTTTTTATGCAATTTGTAAATTTATTAAGATTATGTACCTAATGCATGAAATACTGATAGCACGTGTTTCGCCAGTATTCATAGTCGGTTTATTTAATGTTTTGTTGTTTGGCTACAAGAGCTGGAAAGTGTAGCCATTTTCTTCAATAAATGGCAAATTATGTTAATTGATTTAATTTCCATCCCCCTTTGAGTATCCAACATGAGGGGAGGGGGGGGAGGGAAGGCAGGATATGTAGGGTGAAAAATGTCACTATTGTTAGTTTAATTTTGGGGGCAAGATATTGTTTTTGCTTCAGAGGCACAGCAGCAATTATAACTGTAGGGGCTGACTATAGTGACAATTGTTTAGGGTTTTAAGCTTAGAAGGGACTGCAGAATTCGGCCACACTGTATTAAGCATGTTAATGGAGGACAAGTGCACACTTTAAGATTTGCTTTAGGTAACCAAATGTTGTATCCTTGTATCATTCTGACTAGTTCATAGGCCTACTTTTCTACCACAATGGGTTCCTTGTGGTGGACCCCTTCACATGCACAGGTGTCACATGCATGCCATTTCAGATAACAAGAGTGGGGCTGGTGGAGTTCCTCTCCTTGCTATCCCTGAGAACAGCAATGTGCGATATTTGAAGCATCCTTTTCCCTCCTCCCATGTCCAAGGGGACAGCGTGTGTAACCCATGTCCCAATTCTGACAGGTTGGTGTCCAGGCCTAGAAGAGTCTACACCAGTTTGGGCAAACTCTCATAACAATGTCCAAAAACCAGACAATCATCTCTCATCGGTCTTTGTCTTCCTCAGCCTTTGAGGAAGTCTCAAAATCGGCCATGATCTGTACAATCTAATATCGATGCTCTAAATTCATCATTTGGAAACCAACTATTGATCAAGTGTAAACTCCAATTAAATGGAGAATCATGTTTACTGGTAATTGTACTGCATCATAATTTAAAAAGATCAGGCCGATCACAGTAATTTATAGATAAAGTCCATTTAAATTTGTTTAGGAATTATCCTCATTGTTATGTTATTCATGTTATTGTCATGTTATTCTTCACATAACGGGAAAAAATTAACATTGCTGAAGTTACGTGCTGACCATGGATGAGCACATCAGGAACAGCTTAGTACAGTGACCACGTTTTCAACTTGGTCGACGATCCTGGGTTCGATTCTCTCGTATGGCAGAAATCTTTGAATAAATTTCCTTTCACCCGATGCCTCTGTTCACCTAGCAGTAAATAGGCACTCTGGAGTTTGGCAACTGGTGTGTGTTGATCCCGGGAAAGGTCAATAGTTAGACTTTAGGGGTGGGGGGGAAGAGGTGAAGACCCTGAAATACGTAGGTGTATAATTATAACACAATAAGGACTTCCCGACCCTGACAACCGAAATCTTATCCAGCGTTGCAAAACCATGCCAGCGCTTCCCTACACAGGCACGTGATCAGGATTGACTAGCTATTGCATTGCGAAGACTAGATAAAGTGCTGCGAGGTACAAACATGACGGTGACTGGTGGTTACAGACCGCTTCCTCTGGTAACTATCCTTTTTGTCAATCTGTTCAAGGTTCAGTCTGGGTGATGCTAATGCTTTACGACCGCTGGGAGCATGTCCAGCCGCTTTATTTGTCCAGATACACTCTCCGCAAACTTTGGTAATTAATCCATGGTCATTTAGGCTATGATCGGGCCGTTCCTACTAGTAAGTTCGGTATTTCAGTCTAGGAATCATGATCACTTAAGTATATCCGTATATTGTCACCAAGGCCTAGGCTACAAGACTGGTACACCACCAGTTTACGTTCCTCACGAGTTACTTTAAGTTATGGTTTTATGTCTATTAGTTTATGTAAGTATTGTTAAATTATAATTCATTGTGCAGGAGTACAGGCAACCAGTGTGTGTATTCACACGGTATGATTATATCGAGGGTCCCCCGCCTCCCAAGGTCGAATTACTGACCCCGCCCAGGATGCAACCCCACAAGCTGACTAGCTCCGGAGTGCCTACTTACTGCTAGGCGATATGAAATGTGCCCAACCATTTCTGTCCCGCCTGGGATTCGAACCCAGAATTCTCTATTGTGAGTAGACACTTTCTTCAAAAAGTAAGTTGTAACAAGGAGTAATTGTGTCAAGCTCGAGCCACAGTTCAGGGTTGAGAACAGATGCTCCCCCCCCCTCCACAGGATTATAAACCCATGGAACCGCTTACCCGCCGAAGCCGTAAATGACAAAACTGTAAAGTTGGAGGGTAGAAATAGCCTAAGCTACTCTATTCCTTTGAGATGTATTTCTTGTCTCAACAAACATACTTGAACTTTACAGTTAAAGTTTTAAAATCTGGAAAAGATTAAAGGCAAATGGAAGGGGTGTGGGGGAGGGGTGGCTTATAGCTTCGACAAGCCGCCAGCTTTCTGTCCTCGTCGAGGTTACTAAGAGTAGTGGCCCTCAGGTAAATCAGAACGAACCCAACTATTACAGCTACCATAATTTTTAATATGCATTGAACTTACACGTAAATTATCTTAATGGCACATCTCTTACATTAACCTGTAAGAGTAGTTACACCAATTACATTTTATCGTTCAAACAACCAAGTTAACTCTTATTATTGCTCAATGTACAAACTTAGTTTACAAATGAGTTATTGGCTCAAATTCTGGAGCTGTAGATACTTTATAAACAAAACTACAAACTTTTTAAATAGATTTAAAGTATGTGCTGTGATCTTTAGTTCTTATATTGCATCTGGTACATTAGTCTTGTCCAGAACCCTCCGGCGCCACCTCGCCGCCAGCCGAACCCTCCGGCGCCACCTCGCCGCCAGCCGAACCCTCCGGCGCCACCTCGCCGCCAGCCGAACCCTCCGGCGCCGCCTCTCCACCAGCCGAACCGTCCGGCACCACCTCGCCGCCAGCCGCACCCTCCTGCGCCACCTCGCCGCCAGCCGCACCCTCCTGCGCCACCTCGCCGCCAGCCGCACCCTCCTGCGCCACCTCGCCGCCAGTCATTCCGTCCGGCACCACCTCGCCGCCAGCCGAACCCTCCGGCACCACCTCGCCACCAGCCGAACCCTCCGGCGCCACCTCGCCACCAGCCGAACCCTCCGGCACCACCTCGCCGACAGCCATTCCGTCCGGCACCACCTCGCCGACAGCCATTCCGTCCGACACCACCTCGCCGACAGCCATTCCGTCCGGCACCACCTCGCCGACAGCCATTCCGTCCGGCACCACCTCGCCGACAGCCATTCCGTCCGGCACCACCTCGCCGACAGCCATTCCGTCCGGCACCACCTCGCCGACAGCCATTCCGTCCGGCACCACCTCGCCGACAGTCATTCCGTCCGGCACCACCTCGCCGACAGCCATTCCGTCCGGCACCACCTCGCCGACAGCCATTCCGTCCGGCACCACCTCGCCGACAGCCATTCCGTCCGGCACCACCTCGCCGACAGCCATTCCGTCCGGCACCACCTCGCCGACAGCCATTCCGTCCGGCACCACCTCGCCGACAGCCATTCCGTCCGGCACCACCTCGCCGACAGCCATTCCGTCCGGCACCACCTCGCCGACAGCCGATTCCTCCAAATATTTTTCTTTAAATGCTTTGTGTGTTCCAATGAGTTCCTCGATGAACGAGTTTTCACTTTCCTCGTGCACAGTTGAGCGGTATTCCAAGCTATCTGTCGTGCTTCCTGCCGAAGTCCCTGTCTGCTGGCAGAACCGTGTTTTAGTACTTTAAAAAAATTTTAACACTAAAAGTACATAAAAGTATATATCAACATTTGCACAAAAACCAAACGGGGGGCCAATTAGTTTATATTACCTAGTTGACAGGACTCTTAAGACATTAGGAAATTTAAAACTTGAAAATTTGAACCGTAAATTTTAAACAGTTAATTAGGTAAACTTCCGCCAATATCCAGTTGTAGATGTTAGTGTTCTTAATCTGTTGCGTTATTGTAAATTTGCATAGACAATTTTAGAGTATAATTGAAATAAAAAGGGGTCAACAACCGTGTACACAACCTTCCCTTACCGTGTAGTCTGGATCATCACTGGAGTCTTCGTCGTCCTCGCTGTTAAAGTAGTCTTCTAAAGGGCGGTTCAGCTGCTCTCTACTAAACATACTGCGGTAATACTCCTCTTCAGTCGACTCCTCCGAAGATTCTTCAGCAGGCTCTTGCCTTGTCCCCTGGGAGAACCTTACAAGTCTTATTCATAATTTTGTAATTATTACATAAAGCACAAGAAAGCCTTCATATTTAGTAAGTTTGGAAGCGTTCACCCAGAATAATTCGTCAAGCAGTTTTTATGTGCCCGTACTACCCGTCCTGCTACATCCCCTGCCACAGCCATTTATTCCTACCTTGGAATGTTCATTTTCAGGATGAACAAATGTGCCTAGACTAAATTTGTTCAACCAGGAGATCGCCCTGCGTATCATAATCGTCCACTTGCATTTGTTCTTTGTCGACACGCTTTTGCGGCGCGTGACCTAATTATAGGAAACATTAAGTAAAATAAATGTCTTAATACATTTGTATTATTAGTACATCTTGCCGTATTTGGTATTCTTCAGCAACAGTTCAATATTCGTTGAGCGAATACTTAGTACTGGCATTTTTAAACTGCATGACATCAAATTTACAAGTTATCAAAGTAGAAAGACTGTCAGCCATAGTTAATACCGTTTAATGAGAGTATAGAAAAAAAAAACGAACCTTCCTGGGCTTCAAGTTCGTAGCTATGTTAGAGGAAGTACCAGAGCACCGCCACGCTTGCACCGCCAGTCTGGAGCTCCTAAGGCATCGTTCCTGAAAGTACGTCAAAAAAAGATCAAGCAATTTAATTACACTTAATAATTTGTCAAATTATAAACAAGAGATTACTCACAACGTAAATGAGAAAGTGTATAGGCGAGAGGCACTTCAGTCTGTGTGCTTCCTGTACCAGCCGCGCGCTCACTTCCTCTTCTGGAAGGAAAAATTAGAGCGAGGATAATATTCATATCAATAGCTTCCGCTTATGTTTTTAAACCATTTTAATTTTACAAACCTTTACGAATTATGGCAGCGCATGTCTTCTCTACCGTACATATAAAGGCTTCTGTTAACCAGCATGACTGGTTAACGACCGTAGTCACAGCACAAGAGGCACCAAGCAGTGTAACCTTACGTGCACTCTTGCTCACTGCCTCCACCACCTGCAACAATGTAATTATATTTAGTTATAGAAATGTGCTAGAGAATAACACTTTCTTGCAAACTAAAATTTAGTACCTACCTCCTCGGTAGGTTTCTCAACGATTGGGTAATCTTTTCTCAACGTGGTTATTACATGTAGACCCAGGCCTTCAGCCTTTTTCACTGTAAAAGTAATTTATAAGTTAACCTCCTCCCAATATAATAGCCAAAATTTATAGTCCAAAATTTATTTTCTAAGAGACGGGGCAACTAGCTTAGATACTAAGATAGCCTAGCAAGGCTCAAATTGAAACAAGTTTGAGGTATAAATAAACAAGGGGACGAGGTAGCTCCAGCTATTCTCACCCCGTATAGCACATCGCTGACTAGTCTTAACGAATTAGGAAGGCAACTCACCCGACGCCTTCACCAGGTTGTACTGGTGGGCCGTGTGAACAAAGGAGAGAGTGAAGGAAATTGCGGCCGAGGAGACCTGCCCATAAAGAGGTACCGTCGTGCAGAGTGACTTGTGGGCAGTCGTTACCTGGGCCGGAAACATTAACGGGTGTCAAGGATTAAAGAATATGGGTAAAGGTAAGTCTTTATGGATTTGTCTGCCGTCCCGACAGTCGGGTTACCGATTACACTATTACCGGGGAATAACCTTTCCTTGCTAGGAAAAATAAAATTAAATTCCATTATGTACACACATCAGCAGCGAGATTTTCAATGGCGCATCAGGGGGGGTGGGGAGGGACAAGATTAGTTGCAATTAAAACTTTAACTTTATTTCAGCAGCATTAGATAGGCATTATAATCGTTAAAGTAAACTATCAAGCTCAGCAAGATTACACATCTATAGGATCAATAGCTAGGCGACATTGGGTTTATTTTAAAAACACTTTAGAACAACGTTACAAGCAATTAGGGCACGTCTTATAGAACAAAGTCAACAGGAATTATTCTGTTAATAAGGCCACTAGTGAAGTAAACCTAAATTTAATATTTTTAGGCAGTGAACTTAACCAAGTCTGACTGCATGCAGCAAAACATTGATGGTCACCCACCATTCCCCCACTTTAACAACTATATATAGGATCAGTGGTTCAAATTTTTTTTATTAAATCCAATAATAAAACTTTGTACTAGTCTCGTCCCGAAAATATAACGTTGGATAATACTTGCGTACCGATTATAAGAAAAACTTGGGCGTATCCAAGTATAGGTTTATTAACGGAAGATTTTGTGCGACGACAGAGCTGAAAAACTTGGGAACTTAAGTTTTTTCCACTATCATTCCTTAAAATTCAAGTGTCCAAGGTTAAATTTAAAGATATCACGACCTAAAAGGATAGAGTCAGGATTTTTAAAAGCATCAAACGTTCCAGTTAGAAAAAAAATTGAAAAGGTGAACCACAGGAGTCTTGCTGCATAGATCATATATCAAGTGTAGAAGTGATCAATTCCGATAATCTAATTATCAAAGCAGACGGAAGACAAATTGAGAAACAAAGATCCATTTTTTTTCCACGAGCATCTATTAACGTCACCTTTATTTTAGTAAAGTTAAGGGGTAACAAGTGAAACAAGGTCGTAAATTAGTGAAGGTGGGAGGGGAAGGGGGGGGGGGAGAGTAAACCACACGCATAAAAAGATACTTAAAATTTGAAAAACAAAAACAAATCTATACGAAACGGCAGTCAGATAAGTCAAATGGTGTTACGCAATTAACAAGCCAAGCAACCTGAAAGGCTTACAGCCCTTTTTTTTAATAAATATTAGTACTTCAACAATGTTAATTTATTTTTATAGACGAAGAACCCATGTACTATAATAAAGACACTATAAAAGCACAACTAACACTTACATACTTTATCTATACACAACAAATATATATACAGAGAGCGAATCACCTTTTGGGCGGCAGAAGCTATGACAGGAATATTACATAATTCCTGTAGAAATACTCCATTGTCAGCTGCTCCTGCAGCGAGCTTATAGGGTTCAGCCATCATTGCTACCTCTCTCTGACAGCTCAGCCCTCACCTCCAACAATGACGCCTGTCCCAACTGCCTCATATCCCTCTCCAGGGAACCACAGCCATTGGCTATTTCCCCTGATGGCTTCACCAATCACATCCTTCCGTGCCGCAGTGGTAACAATCCTAATGGTCTACTGCGAAAGACGCGGTATTTGGAACATGCTCATATATAAAATATAAATATTTCAAGTATAAATTGTCGCACCAGATAACATTTATTAGATAATCATCCTCACCTTTAAGCTCATTTTCCAAAATCCAGTTTAAATTCAATGGTAAATTTTTTTTACATGATAGACAGTTTGATTAAGTTATGCATGTAAATAATTTTCTCTGGTTACATGTCCTGACTACCCGTCCTCACACTAGGCTGCTTAAAGCAATGGCCGTCCTTCCCAGACGCATTTATCAATTGTAACATACTGCGTATTAAAAATTGCTTTGTTCTTATATATAAAAAAATAGTATTATACATTGAAATTCTATGTATAGTTAGGCGTAGGTTAGGTGTTTAGGTTCTGTTGGCGATTATTTGTATTTGTAGTACGTGGGTGAAGCATTTACAGCGTTGTGGTTCAACAACCCGTCCTCGACTCAAGTCCATTACATTCAGCGGTCAACCCCACAGACGCATTCATAAATTTTAACATGCCGTTCATTCAAAACGGGAATTTTCTCAAGTATAAATTAATATTATAATATATTAACATATTGTGTATATATAGGCATAGGATAGGCTAGGTTAGGTGTTTAAATTCTGTTGGGGATTATTAGTATTTGTAGTACGTGGGTGAAGCATTTATAGCGTTGTGATTCGAACAAAATTCGTCAGTGAAGCACTTGTTCCGGATATGTTCGAACGTCAGCAGTTGTGAGTCGTGTGTAAACCGCTTTTCATTCAAAAACAGGGGGTTTGGCGGGTGCATGGAATCACTTTTGGGTCTTTGCTTGGAGGACGGGCTGAGCATTTACCGCGTTGTTGTTGTTGTTTTTTTTTGAGATATATACAAGAGTTGTTACATTCTTGTACAGCCACTAGTACGCGTAGCGTTTCGGGCAGGTCCCTGGAATACGATCCCCACGAAGAATCGTTTTTACAACCAAGTACTCATTTTACTGTTGAGTTAAACAGAGGCTACAGTTAAGGATTTGCGCCCAGTAAATCCGCCTCGGCCAGGGTACGAACCCATGACAAAGCGATCGCGAAACGCCAGACGAGTGTCTTACCACTACACCACGGAGACTGGTAATCTGGCTACAGACGTTGGTTCGAACAAAATTGTCAGTGAAGCACTTGTTCCGGAAGTGATGGGACGTCATCAGTTGTGAGTCATGCGTGAACCAATTTTCATTCATAAATAGGGGGTTTGGCATGCTTTTGTTATGAGAAAGGGCGTCCTGCAAGAAAGTGTTTTAAACACTATTGTATTCATAATTGCTATTAACGGTATCGAATTCTCCATTCCAGGTACGATATATGCGCATTTATATGTTGCTGACCTAACCATAGGCTACGACGGTGATCATTTTATGTATTTACAGCGAAAACTCTAAACCGCTAGAAATAGTGCATCAACCTGGGCATGCAAGCATGATTGTGCATTCTTACCCGCTATATAACGTATTAATTTACCAGCAAGCATACTGTCATCACCTTTCATTACAACTTTATGGTAGTTACAGCACGGCAGGATTACCAAATATCGACCATAGCCTATAGGGGTAACCAGCACCAAGGGGGGGGGGGGAGCACAATCACCAGGGGACTCACAATCACCAGGGGGGCCCCCACAATCACCAGGAGGCCCACAATCAACAGGGGGCCCACCATCACTTTTTTGTATACTATAAAAATGGACAAATATCATATAGTATTTAGATTCCTCTGCAAAACTATGCATTATATAACTGATGATTAATCATTATATATTATTATGATATGAGTTGTCTATGTATGTGCTTAACCATTCAATGGCCACGCTAATTACATTGACCGGATGGTGAGGTCCCCATTTAGTTGTACTTTTGATCTAGGGGCCCAAACAGTTTGATCTGGCCCAGAGTCAAAATATATTTATATATATAAATACATAACTATTAGGTAATATTCAACTCACATTTTTCTTGGATAGCACAATATATATCACTTGAAAAATGAATACACCAATTCAGGTCATTAATTAACTAACTAAATGTATTATCGCATACCACATCGAGGGCACATTGAAAAAACTTTCTCATGGTAAAAATTGCAAACCATTGACTCATTACCCTTTCCAGTACGCTATACTAGAGTAAACTTTATTTAACATGTTAATTAACATTACACACAGAAATCACAATAGCGTGATCCATCAATGAACAAAATGAGTTGTGAAATGAAAAAAATGTATCAGTGAGTTGTGTAAACCCTGGTTTGTGTCTCGGAGAGGCTGCAGGATCCTAATAAGTTAGGTACAACTTCTGGTTTCAACTTTTTTTACCATGTCGTAGCTCAGTCGATTAAGGCAGCGTCTGGGATGATCTTGGACGTAGGTTCGAATCTTCGTCACGGCCCTTGTGGATTTGTTAATTAACATTGGTTGTCTGTACCGGTAATTGTATAGAAATTTAAAGTTACAGACGGGGGAAGTCTTTCCTTCAGTTTCCCAGATATAATGGTGTGTTATCTTCCCTCATTCAAACTTTTGTTTACATCAGAACAATGCTATATTATATGATTTGAGAAAATGTATATACAGTAATTGTATCCAAAAGAAAATGCACACAAAGAGCATAAGAGAAAGGCACTATTGTAAGAAAAGGAGCCATACAAATGAAGCCACTAATACACAAAGCGTTTCGGACAAGATTTGGAAAAAATTAGAAACAATTATTTAATGGTATAAAGGGTAAACATTTAATTAACACTAAAAGAGTAGTAAACTAACATAATTGATTATGTTCAAGAAATATAAGGCATGATATACAATATAAAGGTGATAATGATGACAGGCATATACTAGTACTAGCACTAGTACTAATTATAGGTAGATAAGGTAATCGGTGAATCAGACTCCTTAAATATAAAAACATTTATAACGTTTTTACTGTTGCTCACAGCCTATAGGCTTCTTAAGAGATCTACAGGTAATTGTAATTGCTGCAACCCATCCTCCAAATTGACAGTACGTTTTAATACAAAGTGTAATAAGTACGGAGAACGGGCTGATTAATTTGTCAATTGCATTGTAATATATTGCTCTAGTTGCTAAAGCATTTTTCTTATAGTAATAATTACTCACCCTATGTTGACCAATCCGCACACTAGAAAAGGAAGGGACGAAGACGACGTTTCGGTCCGTCCTGGACCATTCTCAAGTCAATTGTGGAATCGACTTGAGAATGGTCCAGGACGGACCGAAACGTCGTCGTCCCTTCCTTTTCTAGTATGTGGATTGGTCAACATACTTCAGCCACGTTATTGTGACTCATCGCCTGCATAATTACTTAAATCAAAGTGTGTGAATACATATAATATTTCTATCGACGCAGTTTCCATCAATTTACAGAATGGCGCAGATCTCACTTTCTAATCTCTGAAAATATGCGACTTGTGAGCGCTGGCAACCCCAGTGTTGGTCCTGGGGGCCGCTTTGACGTCAGTGCCGATGGAGCATCTCAGGCGTGAGGGTCTTCGCTCTGACTCTCCTGATTGTGCCCTCAAATTATAACCTTTTTCTTAGTGCTTCGAATGTGCAGTGAAATAATACGCCCACTTCGAGTGACCTCGTTCCCCAGCAGTGGAGTTACCCTACAGTGCTAGCAAAGCCGCTGAACACAGCATTTCAGGAAAGGAAATTTACAAGATTGTTTACCAATGGGAAAGGTTTGCCTGAGGGTGGTGGTCCTTAATGTGACCCTTGAGGTGGCTGGAATGTGACAAGTATGTCAGCAGTGTGTGCCAGTGTGGACTAGTCGGCCAGCATGAGTGCCCACGCCCGCCTCGGGCTGCCAGGGACCTGCAGGATTTTCCTATTACTAATGTTATTGTTGATCTTCACAACTTCAGGTAAGAAAGTGTTTGTATGGGGGTGGGTGGGGTCTGCCCATTCTATTGTAACGTCAGAAATAGTATATATGTAAACTCCACTGCCTGCATGTAGGCCTATATTTCAGGATCACAACGGAAATGTTTTGTGTTAAGCAAAATTCTGGGGTTAATTTATTTTCTCTATACTATGTATCATTATTTTATCTAGTTATAATGTGTCTTTTTCCATAAATGAAACGGTGCAGAAATAGTTTAAGATGCCTCTAAAAAATTGGCACTTTAAATTGAGTTACGTAATAGGTATAATAATGTACGAAACCTTTCATATTAATTTGTGTATGTTAGGCTTATATCAAGCCCCCCCCCCAGGGTCGCATTACTGTTCCTCCCAAGGATGCTTCCCTACAACAAGATCCTGGTTACCTATTTACTGGTAGGTGAACAGGAGCATCATTAGGTGATAGGAAATGCGCCCAATCATTTCTGTCCCGTCCGGGATTTGAACCCAGAATTCTGGATTGCGAGTCGAGAACAGACCCGATTGTAATAACGGGACCCGTATACACCCTGTCACAACTAATTAATCACTGTATCATATTCTTCTGTGTTTTCCAAGTAAATGATTATTATTATACGAGTAATTGCAAGTCCAAAGTTTTACGTGTCGAGAACACCATCGGTGAGCAGTCACAAAAAAATATTCTCCGAAATGCAGACTAAAACTAGCGAAAGGCATTTTGATATGTGCTTAATGGTTAAGAGACGATAATATTCTAAGGACAAATCTTGTATGTCAACACTTGTCTCTTATATATATAGATCTTAGTATATCACACAATGACTACTTTTTCAGTGATATTCCTGCGCGGGCCTCTGACTGGCCTGCCAAGGATTATGCTTTTGACGTTTGTCTTGGGTGGAGTATGTGTATTAGGACTCGTATGTTCGCTTCAGTATGATTGTCCAGTGTGTTTAACAACTTCTGCTATGTTAAATCTCGGCTGAAATCATATTAGGTTTCTAACTCTGCACCGAGTTAGATAATGCCTCAGTGGTCGGGCATTTCTTCATATTTTTGTACTGACATTTCCTCTCATCTTCTGGAAGCCTATTTCCATGCACATGGGGTATCCAAGCCTGGTGCGATGGAAATACCCTTCTGTTTTTCTGTTGCTCCCTTTCATCAAAATAAGTGATTCGTAATTGATTGAATTCTATTACCAATCCGCAGATCCTGATTTTGTAGCTGAACACAATGACGACGTTTATGGCTTGATTTTAAGTCAATATTCAGCCCATCCTCCTATTTAA